TCAGGCTTTCCTTGAAGACTTGTCAGGCTTGCAACTTTCAAGATAGACTTATAAACAATATCACAAAGCCTTTTCTTTGCTGTGTGCACCAGGGTGCAGTTTTCAAATACTGATTTTCACAAAGACTTACACTCTTCTGTGAGCTGGACTGCCCACTCCTCAGCCTGTCTCCTATGGCAAGTGACTTAGCTGATGCTGCAAACAGGACAGATCAATTTAGGAGAGGACTTCAAGATCCAGGCTACTGTTCAAGACAGAAAGAGCTTCAATGTTTAAATTTGGTGCCTACTTCAGGTATGTTCGAAAATCCTGCCATAAAGGTCCTGATTTGGAAGGCAGCGCCAATCATACATGTTCAAACTGGGCTTACACTATATAACTTGTAATTTATTATTTGAATGCAGTCCCTGAGATGTTATTAAGTTACTTCATCACAGGTAATACAAAGGTGGTTAAATGATCCAGGGGCCTAGTGAGAGGGCTATAGCAAGTCTGTTCAGCTGGAGAGAACTCTATACCAAGGTCCTTATCATCCACATAGACAGGACAGGCAGTGGAAGAACGAAAGGAAGCATTGTTGCCTCCATTTGATAGTAGGAAACTGAGATAACATAAACTCATTGATTAGTCCAGGTGGGGAGATATGTAGCAGAGCTGGGATTTGGCCCAGAGCTCTGGGATCCCACTCAAAAGCCTTAATCATGCGACCATCCTTCTCGCATCCCTCTGCAAGCATGGTGCATCCTTCTTTTCCACTGTGCCAGCCACAGTCTCTTGCTGAAGGTGGACTTGCTAGAATTAACAGCATGTTGCTGAGAACTGCAAAAGGAAGAGATTAACCCACCTCCCCTTAAAGTAAAATTACAGGTGTCTTCTAGGCATAAACTAAACTCCAGCTTTTTTCTACAATGTGCAGCTTCACTTCACTGATTCTTAAAATTACTTTGGAGGCTTTTACATGTGGATCCTTACTCCCAGTGCCAGCAGGTGGGAGACAAAGTATCCATAAATCCTGATCATTCTGAAGATTTTCATATATCCTCTAGACTCAAGCGCTGAATCTCTTTTTTTCCCCCTGAGCTAATGCTTCAGTACCTGCACCTTGACTTTCAAATGTATTAACTGAGTTGCCAATCATCATTATTTTTTTCTTAGCAATCTCTCAGCTTTACTTCAGCAATCCCCTTGTCCCTTTCAAACTCCAAAATCCACATTGCAAAAAAAAATCACTGTTTAAAGGCTGAATTTTGAGAAAAACCCCATCATTCTAATGGAATAGCTGATCCCACAGGTAAGATTCACTCAGTCTCAGGTCAGCCTTTTGCCAGCTTTCCTCATAATGCAAATGACCTTCAGTCAGTGAAACCAGGAGGATTTCCTACAAACTGGGCATGTATACTAGTTCAGCCAACTTAGTAGTTTCCCTGGGGGACTCTTCAGGGCATCCTGGCAGCAGTTTGAGATGCTCTCCAAAAGAACAAGCAGGTAACTGTGCCTTCCTTTTCCTTCAAGATTCAACTTGTACATGATAGAATAGGGTACTAACTAAGCCTAAGGAGAATGACCTGGTCTTTGCACAAGAGGCGATGCCCCAGCCTTCCAACATGGACTAGAGGGTAGAAGACAGGTCCAGGAAACTAACAGTCCACATTCTCATTCCAGCTCTGCCACTGAGTAAATCAAGTACAAAAACAACTAGGAGGAGAGCAATAGGCAGATGAAAGAAGATGATTTGAGTCTAGAATGGAGTGACATACTTTGCAAAAAGTCCCCCTGGAGCTGTTCTGTGTTGTCACAAGTAGCAAGCCCAAATCTTACCAAACAAACAGCTATTAGATTTCTAATATGCACCGTGACTTGATCTCTTGCATGACTTAGTATCTTGCACATCTTGAAGAAAATATACAAACCATTCCTACTAACAGCTTTTTTATCATCTACTCCAAATCCCCATAACTTGTTGTGTACCAGGCAAAATGTAATGTTCCTCTGAAACCTGAAGTCCAGTAAGTCTGGATAAGCATTCGGGCACTGAAGTCCTTTTGCACAGCCTCAGGGTTTAAATGGGTTGCACTATGTTTTCAAATGTTGGGGCTGGAATTCACCCTCTTTTTTTTCACGGTAATGAATAGGTTTCTCTTCAGATATCCAAGAGGAGAGTTTTCATTCTAACCAGTCTAGCTGGGAGGAAATGTGGCACACTCAGCACCATACTATCTAGATGTTCACAGAAGTGGAGTTATTTCTGAATGAAAAGGCTTGACTTAAGAGAAGAAATTACATTGGGAGACTGTTAAAACTACACTTTACCAAGACAGAATGAAGTCTTAGGACCCATTCTAAATTGTTGAATTAATTGAACCTTGTACTAGGAGTGATTTAACTAGGTGAACTAGTGAAAAAAGACCTGACACAGGTGTTGGAACCTGGGGGAATCTCTGTCACTTGTAGCTTTGGGGTTGGTAACTTCCCAGGAGTGTTGCTCCTACCATTAAGTAGGGCAGATTGAAAAATTATGTTCTCAAGAAAATTGTTGGGATGGCAGGACAGGTAGTCCAGAACTCTGAAACTATCCAAACCAATTCATCATATCTCCTTGCTTCAGCCACTTTCGAATCTAAACTTTTAAGCCTTAATGTGTTCATACTGTCCTTGAATTGAAGAGGAACAATATCTTCTTTGTGTTATTCAAGCCTTGCCCTTCCCGTGATTAAGCATTTAAACAAACATTTCAATAAAAGGGGTAAAAAATAAAGAAAGCGCCAATGTTTTCTTACTGTGCAGAGTTGTTTCTTTGTGATAAAAGATTCTTTAAAAGACATTCTTTGTAGAACAGAGGTTACTGTGAATACAAATAGCCACTCCAGTGAGATAAAGAGGTGGTTCTGGAATAACATACTCAAAAAGAAAGAAAAAAAGAAAAAGAGAAGACTGCTAACACAAATAGTAATTGAAAAAAATGCTAAATAAGGAAGGAAGAATCACTTCTCTGTACATAAAAATGAAAAAGTAAATGTCCTTCTCTCACTTTGTTTTCATTTACCAATGTTTTATAACCAGTAACTTTTTTGATTTAACTCCAAGTTCCCTCTATTGTCAATGACAGAAGAATCAAATCCACCTGCCTTAGTTGAGAGTGTAATGTTGGAAGAAGAATGCTATAAAACTAATTTTAGAACTGGATGACTCTATGTATGCAGCAGGCTGGATCAACTCCACTAAGATCAAGAAGATGATGGATGGTACATATACAATGATTCATATAGCTAAACTTTGATTTAGTATGCAACACAGGACTGGGTTTGCTACCATTATCACTAAGGGGACTCAAGTCCTCACATTATAACAATACAGATAAACTGAAGTTGTTTGTGACGGAATGATTTCAAAACATTTGATAGAAATGTCCCCTTTCATGGAAGAAAACCAAAGATGTTTTCTTGTTTGTGATGTTACAAACAGAATGACCAACATAGTTCTGCCCTAAGCATGCATATGTTAAACCTAGCTGAACTGATAAGTATGACAGTTCAAAACATCATTACTCCTCTTCTGGCGTGCAGGCTGTGGGTATTTCTGGCTCTACCTTCCTGTTGTTAATTCTAATGACTTTCCTCCCTAAGAATGGAGACAATCAAGGTAAAATGATTAGACATTAATAAAAAAATCTCTGATTGCTAGCAGTGCTTTGTCTGCAGAGACCCACTTTCCCAGCTCCAAACATTTGTTAATGGTGTCTAAAAAACTCAAACCCACACAATTAGCCAAGCAAAAATTAAGGCTGCCCTTTACAGTTTTTGTTGTTACATTTTTCTTCCAGGAAAAACATTAAATACTCCCTCAAGAGAGATGCTGTAGTAAAATTTTCTTTGCTAGAATTACACCCCTTCCTCTGGTCTTTACTTCTGGAGTCATTTGACCGCACACAGCACCTTGTAACAGGAGGACCCAGAGAGCTCTTATCTACGTAAGCTTGAATTCACACTTTTGGGCAGGCATACAAAGACTTGAAAAGATTGAATGGATTAAATTCTTTCCTTTCTTAATATGGTGTCTGTATGCAAAGGCCTAGATCAAAATTATTGTCATCATCAGAATCTCAGTTTCTTTCTATATTACTCCCCTCTTCTTTACCTTCCTTAAAGGTCACTGCTGGTTGGTAGTTCCCAGTCACGTTTTAGCTTCAACCTCTGTAATTTTTTTCTAAATATGAGTGTCTAGATAGGCAAATCCTTGTTACATACTCATAAGTTTATTAGCCAATGTCAAGAAATCAAGCAAAGGGTCCAGCCAGATCATGTTACCAGTCAGTAATTCAGGTAGCTTCTGAGACACCTCTTGGAGTGTTCACCCTGGGTAGTGGAGTATTTGTAGAAAACTGAAAAAGTTGCATTTCTTCCCACATATTACAAGTATCCATGTTCTTTATTTCATGATAACCACCTAACGAGAGTCGAATTATTGCAGTATGCAGTGCTATTGTGAAATATGTACCCTTAAAAGTTAATTCCACAAAACACACAGTTAAAATATTATAGTGTGTTTGTTAAAGAGCTTATAAGTTACCATGTGTTTGTTGAAAGGAAAGGTAAGGCTTAGAGAATACTGACCGAAATGTAACTTCAACTCTCATACTAAGACATTGTCACAACCATGAAATGAAAGGCTGTTATGCAAGTTAGTTATGTAGAGTGCACGCTAAAGAAACATAAAGCTTCAACCAAGGCTAGAACTGGAGAATTTCCATCATTATAGATTATAGCAGGTGACAAACACCTCCTAGAGACAGCTTGCATCATTCAGATAACTAATTTTTAAAATAAGAGAGAGTTTAAAATAAGATACTGTCTTATATAATCAGCTATTAATATATGTCACTTCTCATATATAAGTTTTTGTTCGATTACAACAAAACAAAACAAAACAAAACAAAACAAAACAAAACAAAACAAAACAAAACAGCTGTATATACTTGACATTATAGAGGGATTTGGTTTTACCTGAATCGTCTACTCTCAGTTTTTTACTGGGATTGTCACCACTGTCATCATCGGACATTTCCATCTCCTCTTCCCGGCGGATTCCCATGAGCTGTTCACTGTGAGCATTTCGGAGCTCCTAAAACCCAAAATGACCTTCTGTCAGTATTAACTTCCATAAAGTCATTATGTATTACTTAGTATCTATTTTAATTCTGCTCTGATTTTAATCATACATAATTTGTAATTGTAATCATATTTATTTGTATATGAGTATTTATAACAGCAGCACAGAGAATTCTTCCTGTGAAAGAACAGAGTCTATCAAAGGTAACATTAAGGAAAAACAAGAGAGAAAGTGAGTGTCTACATTGAGTAATCTTTAGTTCTACTAATCACAGTAGAATGCTTTAATAGCAGGGATAATACTTAAAATTGTGTATAAAGCAGACTGATAAAGAGATTGTCAGCCTGACTAAGATATAGATAATTCTCGCTTTTCTCTACTACTTGGGGTCAGATGTGTCTCCATTAAACAAAGTCATATTAACTACACCCTAAAAGTGCCTCTGCTCTCTCTGCTGATGGTAAAGGGAGCTGAGAGCAGCGAGTGCAGAGTGCTCTATATTGTAGGTTCCTAATGCTGGGCTACGGAATCTCACCCTCTGTCCCTGTGCCCAGATTGCCCCAATTTAAAAGACCCAGCCCAACAACGCCATCCTAAAAATCTCTGCATCTTGGTCCAAAACGAGTGCCAGGGCAGACAGCCCGGTCTCTGGGTGACTGCTGCAAGGGCGGGCAGGCAGGCAGGCAGGCAGGCAGGGAGCCTGTGCACATGTCACTAGGTAAAGGATCAGCAGGCATGCGGGCTTTGTGGGAGTCTAGACGGTCTTTGTTCTGGGTAGAAAAGCTGGCGCGGGTGCAGCGGCTGGCTTTTTAATGGCAGGGCTGAGAAGATTGAGAGGACTCTATTTTGTCCTAATAATCTTGTCAGGTGTAACACGGGGATGCTGCACCGTGATTAGTGTAGGCCTTTTCAGTCTGCAGACAGCTAATTTTTCTGCCAACAAAGAGCCTAATTCCCAAAGAGGTGGTTTGAAATCTTTGAAACAAGGAAGAGTCGTGTGGAAGGAGGAGATGGCATTGAGGAGTCGGACCACTGCTCCGTGCAATTAACAATAAGCTGTCAGAGAGGGACTAGGTGAAAAAGGGAAGGCGTTTCCCTTGAGCTGTACCCTTCGTTCATCAGCAGATCTCAAATATTCTGATAAATGTATATGTGTCCATTAATCCCAGCAAAGGCAAGGAGGCTAATTAGTGGGTGTTTTACAGGAAAAAAAAAAATCAAATAAAAAAAATAGTTATTAAAAAGGGAAATTGTCAACCAGTGTCTCATGCAATCAGAGGAACCTCTGGAAGAAATTAGCAAGCCATTTCTTAGTTCCTTATTGGAAAAGGCCACCTGCACTTTTTCCTAGGGAAATATACTGCCTATATAAGCAGACATCGGCTTTCATTAACTCTCTCTTTAGGTGATATGTGTCCTTGATGCATCAATGCCTACATTATTAGCAAAGCCAATAAACTTCCGTGGAGAATGTCTATGTGCATGAATGTTTGCTTTGGGTTTGGGCTTCTAGCAAAGCTTTCTTAAATTCAGAAAAAAAGGGATGGTGATCAGGTAATTAAAAAAATTAGCAGATAATGTCATGGTTAGAAAACATGATTTAAATCAAAGATGCCATTTGGTACATTTCCATCATATTTCACATGTGAAAAGCAGCATTTCTAAAATATATTGGTTCAATGAGAGCCTTTGCATGTTTTTGAATTGTTTTTGTTGTCCTCTTCTTAGGAAAACAAAAGGCAATAATATTTGAAAAAGCATGTAGTGAAATAACATTTTTGGAAAGTCCAATTCTTACACATTTTAGTTTATGAAAGATTTAGAAGCCAGCAAATGAACAACACACCACATCCCTTTACAGAAAGTTAGTTTAAGAAGAGATGGTCTTAATAGAACTGAAATAAGCTACTAGCAAATCAAATTTTCATACTTCTCTAAAAGATAAGACAAATATCAATCCCCAGCTTTCAGTTGAACAAAGGCTTTTTCTACTACTTATATGAAATATTTGTGAACAAAATGCAAAATACAGTTTGTACCAATAAATTATGCTAACATTTTATTTTAAGTGTCCCATTATTGTGAAGTCATTTGGTATTCACCATAATAGCACTGATAATAAAGAATTCATTTGGTATTCATGTGGATGTTACATTTAGTGCCATTGGTATTCAACTGTAATTTAGCATTAGTTAATGGGCACTTAAAATGTTATCCAAATGATTTATACCACAGCACTTCAGTGTTTCTCAAACTAAGTGTACAACACTTATTTTACAAGTGTACTACAAAATAATTAAATAAGTGCACCTTACCTTCTAAAGTTTTTATTCTGAGACAGAGGAAAATCATTTAGAGGACTGTGATACTAACAATCAACATTCTGTACTACATGAAGGTAAACCAAGTGCATGTAAGTTGCTCATATTAAAAAAAAAAAAAGGAAGAAAGAAAGAAAGAAAACAGACAGCGGTACTTACTTTTTAAAATACAGGCTCATAGCGTATATACTGAATTAAAAACGAAAGCTGGATGACCAAAACACAGGATGAGGTCTAGTGCTTCCTTTGCTGCCACTTGCAGCAAGGAGAGTTAGAATCCCATTTCCTTTGCTCATGCTTATGACAGTCACACATGCATGGTCCCACATTGCTAACTCTGTGTGGTAGCATGATTACATTTATACGGATTTCTTTGCAAGCATAATACTTAGAATCAATACAAGTGATGTATCTACTTTTTTAAAGGTAAACATAAAACAAATGGGAAGGAGTATGCCATAATTCTGGACTTAATATGCTTAAGTCATGACTTAGGAAAGAAATTCTCTATTTTATTTTCAGGTAAAGTCATCTTATAATGACCATATGATGGCACAATGAGAAAAAAAAATCTGTGCTACTGAATACTTCTTTTAAAAACAGATCACGATGACTCCTAAAAAGATATTCTTCAGAAATAATTCTTAATTCTATCCTTAGTTGAAAATATTGCTCCTAATTTCACTACTTCAGTTCATTATTTTAGATAGTAAACATAATCCTCCAATGATTTTCCAAATCTTGCATGAAAAATAAAAACACATTGCTCTCTGTCTTAGTGCTATTTAATGACTATTAACATAATGAGAGCAATGGGAGCAATTCATACTGTAGATGAGACTATATAATGGCCAGTTGATTAACAGCTAAAATGGTAGCTGTGAATATTGCTGAATACACTACGTCCAGCTACAATCACACTCGTTCTGTGTCAATCCAGCTGTGAGATGATGGATAGAAAGTAATAATAAAATCACCAACCTCGGAATGCTTTCGCCAAATGTCTATGTTCTTTCGCTGGGCTTTCGAGAAATGGTCCCAAGCTTTTTGTCTGGTAGAAGCGTTGAAAACGGCGACAATCTGCTCAACTTTAGTGAACAAGGAAGTCAAACAAGACAAGCAATTTATGTTGTGATCACTATAGAGAAGCAAAGCAAAGACACTAGGAGTCTATGGATGATGTCATTACTGAAACAACATCATCAATATCCATCCAATGATGTGTCTTTTGTACTTACATTTTATCAATGTTGGAGATGTCCCCCTTCAAGTCTGTCTCCATAACTTTAGTCTACATAACTTATAACTATGCACCAAAAAACATGCATGCAGCTGCTTCCCAGTAGTATCTGCCACAACTTTCTGCGCAGCCACGTGCCTTTGCATGTCTGCTATAGGTGTGTGACTACAGAAATGACACTCGAGGCATAAACCTGATGCATGTTCCCCTGCGGCAGCTGCACACAGATGAGCAGGCTGTACAAATGAAAGCGTGAAAGGCAAGCAAGCTCTGCTTTGAAGGGTGACTATCTGATAGTGGGAGTTTGTCAGCAGACAGGAAGGGCTAAACCATACATTAATGCTGCATTCTGTAGCTGCAGCTGCTGCTTCTCTTTTATTTAATACAAACAGGCTCACCTGTGGTAGATCATTCTGTCCTGTGTCCGATGGCCTATGTATGTTTATGTATATGAACAGCTGCATTTTTGTGCATATAAGATGAAGAAGAGATGTGTGAAATGGGCTTCCCTTATTCAACTCTAATGAATTTGTTCTGAAGCCAGACACCAATATTTAGGACAATTGTCTAGGTCAATGAAGATCCTTAAGTTTTTAGCTACTCGTTCATCCTAGATCAGAACCTTTTCTCCCAACTCTCTTTTCTTTCTCTTCGCATCAATTGTAAGCAACATATCCTTCCACAACAGCAACCTGCCTAGAAATGATTTGGCCAAGATGTAAGTTGTGATCCCAGCACAGTTAACTGAAGGACCACCAAAAAATCCAGATTTTCTACAAATGACCTGGGCTGTGCTTCTGAGTGAGCAGCTGTGCTGACCTATGAACTCAAACTGAAAAATGCTTCAATTATTTGACAAGGTTCTTGGTTATTTATCTCACTAGATTCCTGGGCTGAAATGAAGTCCACTGTTTTGTAGAGCTGCAGCATGCAGCACCTTCCTCCCCT